TGACGGTAGCCATTGACTTCCATAGTGTTTTTTCCTTACTATTGAAGTCAATGGCTACCGTCAACTCTTCGGTTCCCAACATTCCTCAAAATCTCTTTTTCAAAATATCTTATTTTGAAGAATGTTGGAAAACAAATGTTAGAATGTTGGGGAAAAAAAACAGTTGACGGTAGCCATTGACTTTCATAGTGTTTTTTCCTTACTATTGAAGTCAATGGCTACCGTCAACTCTTCGGTTCCCAACATTCCTCAAAATCTCTTTTTCAAAATATCTTATTTTGAAGAATGTTAGAAAACAAATGTTAGAATGTTGGAAAACAAACAGTTGACGGTAGCCATTGACTTCCATAGTGTTTTTTCCTTACTATTGAAGTCAATGGCTACCGTCAACTCTTTGGTTCCCAACATTCTTCAAAATCTCTTTTTCAAAATATCTTATTTTGAAGAATGTTAGAAAACAAATGTTAGAATGTTGGAAAACAAACAGTTGACGGTAGCCATTGACTTCTATAGTGTTTTTTCCTTAGTATTGAAATCAATGGCTACCGTCAACTCTTTGGTTCCCAACATTCTTAAAAATCTCTTTTTCAAAATATCTTATTTTGAAGAATGTTAGAAAACAAATGTTAGAATGTTGGAAAACAAACAGTTGACGGTAGCCATTGACATCCACGATAGGGAGGGGGAAAAAATACTATATAAGTCAATGGCGACCAGCAACTGTTTGGTTCCCAACATTCTTCAAAATATCTCTTTCAAAATACCTTATTTGTAAATGCATTGTAATGCAAATTTACCATTAATACAGGTGCTGATAGAGATTAACATTATAGATCACAAATGCTGTAGAAGTATCAGTCATTGTTAGTTCTCTAATGTAGTAAACTAATGTTAAAAACAAATGAAACCTTATTGTAAAGTGTTACTGGAAACGGTTACCAGTTTTTTCCTTACTATTGAAGTCAATGGCTACCGTCAACTCTTTGGTTCCCAACATTCCTCAAAATCTCTTTTTCAAAATATCTTATTTTGAAGAATGTTGGAAAACAAACAGTTGACGGTAGCCATTGACATCCACGATAGGGAGGGGGAAAAAATACTATATAAGTCAATGGCGACCAGCAACTGTTTGGTTCCCAACATTCTTCAAAATATCTCTTTCAAAATACCTTATTTGTAAATGCATTGTAATGCAAATTTACCATTAATACAGGTGCTGATAGAGATTAACATTATAGATCACAAATGCTGTAGAAGTATCAGTCATTGTTAGTTCTCTAATGTAGTAAACTAATGTTAAAAACAAATGAAACCTTATTGTAAAGTGTTACTGGAAACGGTTACCAACAAAAATGACAGGTACAGTATCAAAATGACCGAAATAACAAAACTGCGCTGGTGTTGGTGTCATCTAATGAAATACCTGGTCTTGGCAGAGCAGCTCAATCTTCTCCTCCGCTAGCACTGCCATGTCCTCCTCCTCTTTCTGTTCGCTGGGTTTCTCTGCGGCCGAACCGCCTGTCTGCGACTCGCTGTCCAGGTTGATGATCTTTTCATACACGTGTTCCATCACCTTCCTCACCTGTAACATATCACTGGCCGACAAACGATCCCTACAAACACACACAAACACACATTTCGTGCAAACAGTTGACAGTAGCCATTGACTTCCATAGTAGGGGAAAAAACTCTATGGAAGTCAATGGCTACAGTCAACTGCAACATTCCAAAAAAAATGTTCCAACATTATTCAAAAAAAGATATTTTGAAGAATGTTGGGAACCAAAAAGTCGCTGGTCGCCATTGACTTACATAGTTTTTTTTTTCTCCCTACCATGGATGTTAGTGGCTACCGTCACCTGTTTGGTTCCCAACATTCTTCAAAATCTCTTTTTCAAAGTATCTTATTTTGCAGAATGTTTGAAACCAAAGAGTTGCTGGTCACCATTGTCTTCCATAGTGTTTTTTCCCCTACGATAGAAGTCAAAGGCTACCATCAACTGTTTGGTTCCCAACAATTCTTCAAAATTTATTTATTTATTTTTAAATTGTGTGTTCAGCAGAAGATAGAAACTCATACAGGTTTGGAACAACTTGAAAGTGAGTAAATGATGACAGTTATCATTTTTTGGGTGAACCATCCCTTTAAACCAAGAACGAAATTAAACTTGTAGGTCCATCTTTAAATTATAGTTATAAATCTACTTCTCTATAGAGAAAAATCAAGGGATTTTTACACCCAAAACCAACTTTTGCATCCTATAGTCCAGGGGTCTCCAAACTACTGTCCTGCAGAGTTTAGCTCCAGCTTTCCTCAACACACCTGCCTGGAAGTATGCCTAGTAACAGCTTGATTAGCTGCTCTAGTCTCTGTCTAAGAAGCTTCAGACTGAAACGTCACCGTCACACGTACTTCTTTAACGTCTTTGCTCCAGAGGACGAATGGGGCTGGAGGTAGAACGGGATTTTGTTGAATTTGGGCATGTTTTTCTGTAAAAGAAAGAAATACAGTGTTGTAGCAAAGTGTCATTTCTTCAGTGTTGTCACATGAAAAGATATAATAAAATATTTACAAAAATGTGAGGGGTGTACTCACTTCTGTGAGATACTGTATGTGTACTTTATATAAGAGAAATCACAAGTGTAAAACACTTTGAAGAGGATGTTATGGACACTTACGTCCACTGTGATGTCGATGACCCACTGCGGGACCGTCTCGTTGAGTAACATGGACTCAGTTTCTCCACCGGAGTCTCGACACAGCAGCCTGAGCACAGACGTCATTTCATCAGCGAACACCAGCGTCTACAGAGCTGATCAAACAGAGGACACACACCTGAATAACGTCCTTCCTCCCGCTTCACCGAAAATCACCGGAGTGTGCGGCGGCACCTGGAAATATCCGTTTCCCTTCTGTATCCGGCTCTCGTGCTCACCGTTCACTGAGGAAACACGACATACGCCATCAAGATCATCCGAAGAAATATCAGCCTTTTTCCAGAAAATATTGAGCATGAAAAAGATTTAATTTCTTCATTAAATGTAATTATAAAGAAAAATAAATGCATAAAATCAAGCCCTGTCCAACATTATTTCACTCTGAAATATCAGATTATGGAAGTTAAATGAGTTACAATACAGGTATTTAATTACTGTACATCATCATCATCATCATCATTATTATTATCTAGCAGTAAACAAAAAATATGTATAATTAATATACGTATTTCGCATAATATACATATTTATTATTATATGTAATTTATAATATTATATATACATATGTTTATATCATTTAATATAACTATATGTTAGCATTATTATTATTATTATTATCTACCATCAGTTTAATATACGTATTTCACATAATATACATATTATATATTATATGCAATTTATAATATAGACACATATATTTCTATAATTTAATATAATTATATATGTTAGTATTATTATTATTATTATCTACCATTAAACAAAAAATATGTATAACTAATATACGTATTTCACATAATATACATATTTATTATATGTAATTTATAATCTACATAATATATATATTTATACCAATATATATAATTATATATGTTAGCTATAATATATACATATATATTTATAGCATTTAATATAATTATGTATGTTCGTTATAAAGTTATTGTTGTTATTATATAATACAGTAATTACAAACTTGGATATTATTTTGTCAAATTAATTAACTTTTATATTACAAAAATACAATATGCAAGTTTATAATTAATTACTGTAAACTATATTATTATTATTATTATTATTATATGTAGCATTATATATACATGTGTGTGTAATATGTTAATTAAATAGGTGTTAATAATAATATTACACTGTAATTTCTAAACTAATTACAACATTTATATCGGAAAAAAAAATAATATCCAAGTTTAGAATTACTGCACATATATATATAAATAAATATAATATTATATATATCATTTAATAATTTTATAATAATTTTATTTTATATAATATATATTGATTTATACATTTTAAAAACATTATTTTATATATGTATATTCATTTATTTCATAGTATTACATTTTAAAATCAGTGTTTTATGGACTGATTGATTGATTGCTATTCCAGCATCTGTGTGTTTTTTCGTGGCAACATCAGCAGATTTTAGGGATGAGTGATAAGAGTCTTTACCGCTCCCATGATTGAGTTCGGTCTCCTCGTCCGTGGGGTTGGTGTGAGTGCGAGGCCAGTACTCCAGCAGAGCCTGCAGCAGCAGCCCGCCCAGATTCACTGCAGCACAAACACACATTAATAACTCATCTTTCTCATCTACTGTCATGATAAACGGCTCGGCTCACGTTTAGGGTCGGATCCGTCAGGGCTGGTGAATCCAGCGTCTTTAGCAGAAACCCAGGCTGCAAAGCAGTCGCTCTCGTCCAGCGTTATCGTCAACATCTGTCAATCACAAGCCAAACGATTCATAAAACATTCACTGTGATGTGTTTAAACACCGTCCTGCCGTGACGTACCCCTGTCTTCAGATCCACCGAAAACCAGTTCGGCACATAAACCATCTTGAACCTTTTCTTGTTCTCTTCGTCAAACTCCATCTTGCCCAAGTCTTCGACTTTACAGGCCTGCGAAACAGACAGCAAAGCGGTCACACGACGGATGGGTCACGTGTCGAGGCACACGCATGTAAACGTTACCTTCAGCACATCCCAGTACGCCACGTTATTGTTGGTGTCTTTGGTCAGAATGTGTCGTTTGTCGTTCAGAATGTGGCACTGAATTATACTGGCGCCACCTAGAGGTCAAAACAAGACATTCACTTGAGGAACTATAATAATTCAAACTAAAACATTAAAAACTATATTATGATACATTATAAACAAATAAATACGTATAATTATATATATGTGTGTGTGTGAGATTAATATTATTATTATTAATAATAATATATACACAGTAATTATAATCTTTATAAAAACATACAATTAAAATATAAAAAATATAAATATTATCAATAAAAATGTGTATGTGTAATTATTATTAATAATAATAATAATTATTACTATATATACACAGTAAATTATACACTTTAGTAGCATTATAAACAAACAAATAAATATATATATATATACACAAATTATACATATTTATTTGTTTGTTTATAATGCTACATAATAATTTTTGTTTATTTTATATATACTTAATTAATATATTATTCTTAATAATTATTATTTATACACAGTAATTATAAACTAAAAACAAAAAAATATATAAAAATTATAAATTAAAATAGAAAATATAAAAATACAAATTATGACAAAAAAAACTAAAATAATTATAAATTTTATATTACAAACAAATACAATATCATGCTAAAGATGCTGTTTGATGGAGATTCTAATTATTAAACGTATGTGAAGATCCTGTAAAACTCCTTTGTTTTGTACCTTTGATCAGCTGCTCTGTCTGCGTGCACAGCGGCGTCAGCGGAGCGCTGCAGTCATTGTCATAATCACCAGACGCTCGGAAATTATGGATACCCTTCAGAGACTGGGAAAAAACACAGAGACATTATTCAAAACAACGCCCAATATCAAGAGAACAGACCGTTTTCTACATTTTCACTGTTTTCTAAATAAACAAACCGAGAAATTTAAAATTATGGATCAGTGTTATTGTAGTATCACTGATACAGTATTATAGTTTCTGTAAATATTCTGAATTAGATTTTATTTTTTCAAGTTCCACTTTTATTTAAGATTATAGTCATTTTGTTGTGTTTTTATAATTTGTAATATTTACACACACACACACATATATATATTAGAGCACAACCGATATGGGTTTTTTGGGGCCGAAACCGATACCGATATTAGGGAGTAAAAAAAGGCCGATATCGATATATCGGCCGATATTCTTTGTGTATATTATAGTACAGTACCAGTCAAAAGTTTGGACACTTTCCCATTCGAGGGTCCAAACATTTGACTGGTACTATATATAGAATACAGTATATACATAAACAGAATATATATACATAAACACATTTTTTGCAATGATCACTCAAATGTGGTGATCAAACACTTATAATGGTGACAGAGATATGTAAGGGCATTTAACAATTTAACAATAAACTTTATTATCCAAAATGAGTCTGACATCAGTGCACTGAACAGTAAAGTGGAAGTTTATTCAACTTTATTTAAATTCAAATCCATTCAACTTTATTCCGTTGAAGTTAATTTCACTTCGGAACATTCATTCACGGATTTGCTATGTTTGCTATGATAAATGTTCTGTAAAAAAAATTTTCATATTGGTGGCATATCGGCGGCATATTAGCCGATACAATATATCGGCGACAGGCTCATATCGGCCCATAATATCGGCTAAACGATATATTGGTCGGGCTCTAATATATATATATATATATAGTTTTAGTACTTCAAGTACTAAAACAGCTGAAATTCAAGTATCTGAAATAAAATAATTTATTTTAAATGTTATTTTATTTCAGTCAATGTTTATTTCATTTATTTATATATATATATATATATATATATATATATAC